GTTAAAATTTGGGAATGCCAAGGCCCCCCCCCCCCCCCCGCCGACATGCCTCACTGGTTGTGTCGTGATCTCCTCTTCCACCAATGTCGCACACTCATGTGTATTCACAATTTAGCAACACCTTGACCACTCTGCTATTGCCAAGAAACTCATTGACGAAGCCCGTCTCTGCGGAAGTGAGGATGACATTACTATCATCGTCGTGCGGTATGACTTTGCTATACCCCAAAACTCCTGTGGTGTTGCCAACTCGCCTTGTGCTTGAGAACCTAAGATTACCATTTTTTTCTGGCCCTGCGTTGCAGCTTCTCCTTCCCCGAACCCGGTCCTCGCTTGTCGACCGTTGCCGAGTAATCGGCAGCTCCACTCCTGTCCTAAATGCCCCGCAGCAGCTCATTCTGCAGCCCTGGCGAGCTTGGTTTTACAATGCTTGCTGCGCCGTTTGACGCAAAGGTTGTTGGGACCATTCTTCGTCATACCTTGCCCACCTCTTCTTTGCAACCTAATTGATTTTGGAGAGTAATTTGTTTGATCAGCGAATGGCCATTGGGCATGGGCGCGCGCACATGACTGCCTAAATTTTGATTTGGAGAAGCGTATAATAATATAGTACATGGCCTGCTCAATCATAACCACCAGATGTGGCAGATGGAACACGCAAAAATGACAAATCACTTTATAACCATAAAACTGGGCCCACTATTCGTCCTCCTCAAACAAGTCAAAGTTGACTGGGTGGGCACTTGCGTCAGCAGTGAGGGCTGTTGCAGCAGCCGAGTCGTCTGCGGCGGCTTCCGATGCGTGTGCCGACCATGCTGGGCGGGCATGTAGAGGTGGATGGGTGTGGCGCACGGGGGCTGGTTCAACCCCCTCCGTTGCAGCCAAGCTTGGGGGCTGTTCAAGTCCCTCGTTGGAGTGAGGTGGGCTTGCTACCCTTGCTTCTGTGTCCGTTCCTGCAGAGGCACTTTGCAGGGTCGCGGTCAACGCCGCCTCGCCGGGGTTTGCCGGACCGGCGGTCGCCGCAGTCTCATTTTCGCCCCCATTGTCAGCTTCATCATCATCATCATCCTCGCGTTGCTGCAAACCCTGTCCAATGAGCACAGTTGTTTGCTTATCCATGCGCTGCACCAAGAGATTGAGCGCTTCCGGTGACCAGCCCTCGCCTTCCTCGCTTTCCGTGTCACTCTCAGCCATGCTGATGAGGGTGCGAGTCTCACTCCGCTGTGGCAACACGTTGGCAGCCCCAAGAAGAGCGCGCTCGACGTTGAGGCTGCGCAAGGGCAGTGCCATCATGCGGCCTCGATTGCGCACGAGGCAAGCGAGCATGATGATCATGCTCACTAAACCGGCCATGACACCGCCGGCGATGGCAAAGGCGCGCGATCGCTGATTCGAAGGGGTGGGCGATGAAGTTACGCTTGAGCCAGGCCAGCCATTGCCATCATCATCATCATCATCATCATGGGTGTGGTGACCCGGACTGGACGGGGCCGGGCCCGGGCCTGGCGCTCGAGTGGTAGGATTATACCCACTCATAAACACCAAGCTTCCCGGCGAGGATTGTCCACTAAACTTGTGGCCGTCATAGCTTTGGACGTACACGTACCAGGCCGTTGCCGTAATGCGTGGAGAGACCACAGCCCGATAAGTGCGAAATGACCCGGCCTCGCTGAAATCAGTGGGGATGGGTCGCACAGAGTAATCCAAGAGCTCCGAATGTGAAGTCCCAGTTGAGGCGTAGGCTGTGTAGACCACGGTATAGCCAACAATGGCGCCTTTAGGTCTGGGAGGGTCGAAAAGCACTTCAAAGGACGTATCTGTGATGCGACGGGCCAGAACGTTGCGGGGCGGCAGTGGATCGGGGCGACACGTGCGTGTCGTGTCATCGTGTGAAGTGCCGATGGGGCAGACAGGGTGGCAACGGTCTTGGTAACAGTACTCCCGACTGGTACACTGATCGCAGGTGCGGGCCGGTGCGTCCGTTGAAGGAGGCGAAGGCGGGAACTGGGCGGTGCTTGAGGCTTCGGGAGTGGCTGTGACGGTGGTGGCGGCCACAGTGGTGGTAGATGTGCTTGTCAAAGGGCACGGGGTCGCCGGGTTCTGCACGAAGACGTCATACGTACAGGCCGCCACAGCAAATTGGTCCGAGCACACGATGCGGACAGAATAATTGCCCTGGCGCAACTCGCTGTCGTTGAGAATGGAGGAGGAGCACACAGTGTTATCAATGGCACTGCATGATCCCAGTGCCTGCTCAACGTGCGTGGCTGATACCACTGGCAATTGTGCTGGCACCGTGCTACTGCAGGTGGGTAATGTCTGAGCCCATGAAGATCAATTTGAGCAAGACACGAGTGTGAGATGATCATGTCATGGGCAGCGGCGGGCTTGGCCGCGCGGGGACAAGGTTACGATTACATGACAGCCACTGCGAGTCCATTGTCATACTTACCAGCACCACGGGATCAGCGGGACACTGCGCAACCAGATGGCGCTCCCCGCACCAAGAGAACCTGCCGTAGGAGGGACAAGCGGACATGAGCCAGAGTTAGATCATTACACGTGTTCGAGGGGCGCTCACGTAGGCACTCACACAGCAAGCTGGAGTAGAAATTCACTGAGTCGGTCGTCAGCGAAATCGACATCTATTAGGGCCTAAGTGCGTGTTGAGGCAGCGAAAAACTTGGATGAGTCCGAAGCGCTATAAAAGCACAGCCGGGGACCGGCCTGGGGGAGGTCGGGCACAAACTTGAAATCGATCTGCGTAATGGCCCAAGGGGACGGCCATTGAGCAGCGCTGGCCGCCGAGCGTATGGGCTTCATTCGCCACCCAGGGCAGTACGGTGCCATTTGGGAAGCGGGCGGACACTGTCAGCGCCTTACTCAGCTCTGTACAGTTGAGGTCGTCTGGCGGCGGAATTCATTTTGTGACATGAATGTGCAAGTGCTGTCATAGAAAAGTAAGAATGGGGTACGACCACACCGGGTACGGGGACATACTGGTGGAGCTGAACACGACGGTGAGGGTGCAAGCAGTTTGCGCAAGCTGGTAGCTCGAAAGCCAAGGACTTTCCAAACGGCCCACACCCATGCCACATTTGCCCTGTGTGTAATTGGGCAACGCAGATTCGTGCATGGACAATCAAAGGCATGAGCCGAGGGTGGGACGGAGGCAAAGCACGGTGGCACAACGTCAGTCGTCGATCTGCTCATACTTCGTAGCCGTAGCGTGTTGCTTGAAGGGTGCATTCGTTGTCGCTAGGGATGGTGGGTGTCCATGGACAATCGGCCAGGAGGCGGTCTGCAAAGTGAATGGTGCCATCGAGCTGGCACTGGGCACATGAGGCATGTGTCGGCTCGTCTGACACATGTCACCCACAAGGTTGCAAAGCACGATGAGATGGGCGTGCTAACGCACAGCAGGGCGGTAGGCCGAGGCGCAGAGGGTGCGAGATGAAGGAGGGCAGAAATGTACCGATGCGTTCATAAAGGGTTGATCCCAAGCTAAACTGGTAGAGATCGCCAGCTTCACGACGCAATTTGCCTTTGAGATGACATGAAGTCTCATCCATGACAAAGGCTTGGCACTGCGGGGCAGGGATACGTGTGTGAGCGAAAGCTCTTCTCCTGTTTCACTGCACCTCGCCCAGACATCGAGTGCACTTCACAGACGAGCACAACGGCATTTGTGCATGGCCTTGTGGTCCTTACCGCGCTGTGTCGAGAGCAGGCGCTGGCGCAAAACTCAACGTCCTGGTTTGCCACAAGACCAACACTTTCGCCAGCAATGGCAGTATTGGTTAGGGGGCCGAGGTACCCCTCCACCACATTGTCACTGGCACGCGCGAGCCATGCTTTGTCCAGGCAGAGCAGAAAAAGCAGGCAGAGCGCCACAGGCCTCAATGTCGTGCGACACGTCATGACCATGGCTCCGGAAATCTTGCAGCGAGCTGAGGTTGCCAGGCTGGTTGAAACGAGGCAAGGGGCGATTGGCTTTTAGGACCAGCGTCGTGTGCCATATGGCGTGCGCCGTGAGTCAGACCCAGTCAGCCAGGAGAAAAACAAACCCCTCTCCCTCAGTCAACGCCCTGGTCACGAATGACCCGGCGCCACGACCGAGACACCCCGCCCAAGGGCGCAACAGTGGCGGGTCCACGTCAAGCGCACAACCGGGCACACCGGCACGCCACTCGACGCTAACGAGGGTTGTCCTTCCCGTCCAAAGGCCTTCCAACCCGAGTCGTTCACATCAACACACCAACACACCAACAACGCCGTCGACGTCGTCCTCGGCACAGCGAGAAGCGGCTTGGATCCGCAGCTCAAACTCCAACACACACACACACACCACACACAAACAACTAGAAATAATGACAAGACAGAGAGAGAGAGAGAGAGAGAGAGAGAGAGAGAGAGAGAGAGAGAGAGAGAGAGAGAGAGAGAGAGAGAGAGAGAGAGAGAGAGAGAGAGAGAGAGAGAGAGAGAGAGAGAGAGAGAGAGAGAGAGAGAGAGAGAGAGAGAGAGAGAGAGAGAGAGAGAGAGAGAGAGAGAGAGCTTGAGAGCTTAGAGAGAGAGAGAGAGAGAGAGAGAGAGAGAGAGCGAGAGAGAGAGAGAGAGAGAGAGAGAGAGAGAGAGAGCGAGAGAGAGAGAGAGAGAGAGAGAGAGAGAGAGAGAGAGCGAGAGAGAGAGAGAGCGAGAGAGAGAGAGAGAGAGAGAGAGAGAGCTTGAGAGCTTGTGTGAGAGAGAGAGAGCTTGAGAGCTTGAGAGAGAGAGAGAGAGAGTGAGAGAGAGCTTGAGAGAGAGCTTGAGAGCTTGAGAGAGAGAGAGGCTTGAGAGAGAGAGAGCTTTTCGGGGGCTGTAAGGATGATGACAACAACAAAGGGATGAAGCAGGAAAGCTGCTATGTCGTCGCCTCTCCACTGGTGTGGACATTCTTCAAGTTTCAATAACGACAGCGTGACAGTGTCCATCCAGCCCTCCGTCAGGCAACAGGCATGACCAGCTTCGCGTGCCCATCATCCCATCCCGCTCCTCTGGCTGCCCTTTTGTGGGCGCTTTGCCGCCATCGCCGTCAAGTCCCCTCCAGTCTTCCAATCCCGAGTCTCCAAAGGAACCGAATCAGTCTCCCAGTCTCCCAATCTCCCTCTCCCTGTCTCCTAGTCTTACAATTGATGGTGACACAAGCGCGCGAGCGATAGGACTGTTCCCTCGTCCGCTCTGCGCGTACCCCCCTCCCCCTCTTTACGGACGTCTGTGTAATACATCCGGATAC